CTAATGAAGGAGTAGTATTATGTTTGACCTTTTTGTGAATCTAATTTTTAAATACACATAAAGTAAAAAAAATTTTTTTTTTTTTCAAATATCTATTTTATCCGTATTTATGATCAAAATGATTAGCAAAATATTTGAAAATGAATGAATAAAAATGTAATATTTTAAGTAATTATATAAATAGTTAAGTGAGAGTAATAATTAGGTAAATAGCTAAGTAAGCATGATAATTAGGTAAATAGCTAAGTAGGCGTGATAATTAGGTAAATAGCTAAGTAAGCGTAATAATTAGGTAAATAGCTAAGTAAGCGTCATAAATTCATTTTAGCACGGCTCAAATAAATTAATAATAAATAAATAAATTTTATAAAATAAATGCTTAAATTAATTGATTAATTAAGTGAGTGAATAAATGAAGTAATTTAATAATTAATTAGACAAGAATCTTACTAAAATGAATTTAGGTCTCAACATGGTTTGCAAATGCTCGACGACGGCTAAAGAAAGAGAATAAGATGACATGGTCACCACGTAATCGACCGGGTGATGATGATGATGATGATGATTTGGGTGATATTGATGCATCATCAGAGCAGAATCATTCCGATCGTCCATGTAGTAGTGCTTCTGATGGAGATATCTCCGTTGTAATCAATGATACCAGTGAACAAGGTAAATTACAAAGAAGCATTTGAAAAAAAGAAAAATATATAATATTAATTCATTTGAAAAGTTATCAATTATTGATTAATCCATTCACACGAACTTTATTAATTACTGATTAATTGATTTATATAAATGTTATCAATTATTGATTGATTCATCTATATGAAGATTATCAGTTATTGATTATCAAAGAACATAAATAAATCTATTCATATGAAGGTTATCAATTATTAATTGATTCATCTGTACATTTATCTATATGAATGTTATGTTATCAGTTATTAAATAATTTATCTATATGAATGTTATATCAGTTATTGATTGATTTGTCGATGAAAATATGAGTAAAATTAATTGTCAAATTAATATATTAGACATTATAGTTCATATTATTTTCCGGATAATTTTGGAATTTATTTCAGATGCATCCGGTGATGTGCATTCAAAATCGGTAACATCACCACCATGTTCCGATACAAGCGGTAATCTACCACGATCATCAATATCAGCAATATCAACACCAAAGAAAATGAAAATTTGGTCAATTGCAGAAACATTATCAAATAGCACAACTGATGCAAATAGCAGTAGTACCGGATATGGTAGTAGTAGTAAAGATGATCGTGAACGAGCATCAACATCAGTTGAACGAAAATCATGGAGTGATGGTCGTGATTCGATACCACCATCAGATTCAACTGGTATCGCTTCATCAATGATTAATACCATTCCATCACAACCACAGTTACCACAACCACAACAACCACCACCACAACCACCACCATTGCTACCTCCTGGTACTTCTGCTATTACTACTGTTAATGGACAAATACCGCAACATTTCCTACAATTTCATCCCTGGCAACAACAACAATTAGCTATGGCTATGGCTGTTCGAATGCCATTTCCTAGGCCTGAATTATTAACAATGATGGCTCAAGCAAGTCAAATTCGACCACCGATGCTTTTTAATCCGATGTTTATGGGTGCTGTAATGTCAGGTGTACCACCACAACCAACACATTATCCGATACCTGCTACTCATTTATCAGTACCACCGGTACCACCCAGTACATCACTATCTAACGGTTAGTTCCTGTCCTATTATAGAATACATCAAATGTTATTTTAAAACTTTACAATTAATACCAAGAAGTAGCAAACTAATTAATTACTTAAAATTGTTTTTCACATAAATCATTCCATATTATAATTCAAATATTTCCTCTTTCTAAGTCTTATCTCCTATTTTAGTATGCAATTAAATGCTATCGGAAAATCTTATAATTCCCGAAATGATCATAAATTATGTCAAAGTAATGTTCTCTTTTGTAAATTTACACCTATCAATTACTACTGTAAATCTGAACAAATATATGAAGCATTGTTTATGAATATACGAAAATGATCTTACAATATTCTCATAATAAAGGATAGAAGTTTAAAAAAAATATATAAGCATTTTATGGGTAAATTATTATTAAAAATAATAATAGAATTCAATTCAATCTGTTGATAATTTTAATTAACTGAAAAAATTTAGAAAAATTAGAAAATCATTAATCTTTACTTTCTTCATAGCTAATTTATTTTAAAATTTGAAAAATAAATTTTATTTTTTTTTTTTATAACTGCTCAAAATATGACATAACGTTTATCAAATGAAGATTGTGAAAATAAAAAAAAAAAAAAGAAAACGAGAAAAATATTGATAGCATTGAAATAAAAATAAAACAAAAATATGTAAGTGAAAAGATTTTGTTGCATAAATTGCATTGATATTAATCATTAATGTCAATAAATTAACATCCCGCACCACGGTACAAACTATCACTGTTGATTTAATGATAAGTTTGAATTAAACTGATAAAAAGGGAAAATTGTTGTTGAAGAGGCATATACAAGTACATGGAAGACTTTTCTTTTTTTTTTGAAATCATAGTTACTGTTTTTTTTTTCCCCCTAAAAATATGTAATGAGAGAGGAAAAAAAAAATGATCGGAATAATTGAATTAGGGGCTTAAAAAAAAAAAAAAAACAAAAAACGAATTATCAAATTTAATTTCAAATTAATATTTCAAAAATTTCCTCAATCCTAAAGAATTTTAATTGTTGCATTAATTATTTTATCTATTAAAAGGTGAAAATTTAAGAGCAAAAAAAAAAGAAAATTGATTTTAATTAATTTCAAAGCTATATCGAATTTTTTTTTTTTTGATAAATTTATTATTTCTTTTTTTGAAAGTCACTTTTTTTTCTTAATTCCATTTTTTTCTTTTTTTTAAATCACACCTATCTTTTTTTTAAATAGCTGTTGGAGGAAATGAAAATTTCAAATTTTTACAATTTTATTTCATTATAATATAAAGTCAGAAATATATCGTTTATATTATTGTTATCATGGTCATCATCATCATCATCATTATTATCATCATCATCATCATCGTGTTAACCGATGAATGAATGAATGGAATGATGGGTGATAATGATAAAGAGTTAATGTATGTATGTATGTATGTGTGTATGTGTGTGTGTGTGTTGTGTCTCTATTTATGTGTGCACATACATGTACATATATATGTTATATTGATAAACGATAATTCAGGTCAACGTTTATATCTCTTCATTTAGTTGTAATTAATGTAAATGAAGTTGTAAACATCGCATAACTGACAACAACAATGTGATACATTTGTGTGATAATAATGATGATGCCGATGATGATGATGATGATAATGATAATAATGAACCAATTCGTTTATCACTCTTGTCAGTGTTATTATTATTATTATTATTGTTGTTGTTATTATCATAGTTACTATTATAACCACGTAACAAGTGTGCTGCCAAACATGTCTTCATGCCACTCTTATGCCTTCCCGTGATGTTCCTTTAATTAGATAATTAGATGGTACGAAAGAAAGGCCGGGTGGAAATTCGACAATAATTTAAGAGGGATTTACCATTCCTATTTCGTCATAATGTTACCTTTTAAGGAATGTAACCGTAAGACATGTAGAAGTTAAACGTAACTTTCCCGGTAGCATTCATAGGACACGTAGAAGTTAGGCGGAACTTCTTCAGTAGCTTTACTTAACCTAATAAATCTTCATATCCGTTGTCCATTTGAATCACAATGCAAACATATGCTAATGATGATGATGATGATGATGATGATGATGATGATGATGATG